CTGTCTAATAACAAAATAAGTTTTACACTTGTTCTAAAAATTCAACTGGAACCATATATGAGTGAAATCCGCAATTACTTAGTTGCCAACATAATATACTGCGCCTATATTTGCACCGTCGTACTGCGGAACATTCGGGGCAATCGGGATTCAGAAAAAAAAAGATGTGTGGCATCATCGTTCTAATGGGAAGTACTGGACTGAAATAGAATCGTAGCCAGCAGACAACTTCAGAATACTAATAAGCAGAGACTACATGGCCACCTCAATGACAACAGCTAAGTAGATACCATTATTACAAGAGTGTATTTACAGTGTACGTGTATTACACACCAATCCAGGTACTGATGCGTTCAGATGCGCGCGGGGGATAATAATTATGTGGCAGTTGTGTCAGCTATCGGCGTTCATGAAGTTTTAATATTGTTTGGGCGTCAATGGACACTATATTACAATTTTGCCAATATGCAGCTTAATAACGCAATCATGAGTGAAAATACGAGAAAACGAAAAACTATGCTAAGAAATCTATGAAACATGAAGAAACCCACCATTCAAACCTTGGTCATGACCACGCTCGTCGACACACACGTACTGTTCCAGAGATCTTCAATCAAAAAAATTCAAAAATGAACAAATATTCAATACAAATGAGAAGCTGCATTACAATGTGATCGACTGTTACAAAGCTCCAGGAGAACCGAAATGCTAGCTTGTCCATAGAAAAACTTTGACCGCCCCTGGATGAAGGCAGTAACCACGGTGTGGACCTTTGCTGCTATATGCAGTAAGAGCAGCCTGACGGACGGCTAGGTGCTCGGAGAAAGAGTCGCAGTTCGCCTTACATTAGGCTAATATCAGCTATACCAAAGGAATACCACGTCCAAAATAACGCCAAATAGTTGTTAGGTTTGTCATCGGTGCACATACAACACCAATGGCAGAATACAGATATTAGTGGTTGCGAGAGGTGACGACATGGAATTGAGTCCGAAAGCATATGGTCTGGGGATAATCGCGTGAGCATTCAAAATATCGTGGAAGGGCGTTACGGGCTTCGCCGTTATCAAATGTAGAAAGACTATATATCAACCACAAGGTCAAGGAAAAAAGGTCTACGAGATGCAAACGAGGGTCTGGAGCGCGCCACTTGGAGGAATTATGTGATCAAACGAAACAAATGTCACGACTAGACGTAGCATCAGCGCTTAGGCTAATGTAAACTGACTGACCTTTTTTGCGAGAATCCTAGGAAAAGTAAATTTGCATGGAGAAACTGTTTTCAAGGTTCTCACTGTTTAGAATATCCATTACAGGTGATGAGCACCTCATTATCATCCACGTCAAAACGAAAAGGAACAAAGACCAACGAAAACCGAAAAACCAACAACCACTCCCAGACAACCTTTTAAACTCATCGGAATCGCGTTTATGAGGGAATATCATCGATGGGGACCTTGGTTGCAATGTCTAGTCTCTTTCAACAATGACTGCTTGCAATTCATCGGCCCGGGCCTAATTCCACACAATTTTTTTATGTGTGTGCGATTTTTAAGTGTAAAAGCGGAACTGAAGGGTGAGAATCATATGTTCACATCAGAGAGTGATAATAGCTTAACACCCTTTGATGCGAACATATCAACGACGTCTGGACCGACTGAAAACGGACTGCCTTCAGGCGCCTTCCACTCAGCCGCCTTGCGCTTGATATCCTGTGTCATGGTTAAGGGTTGATACTTCGAATGTTTGTTTGACTAAAATCCACTTCGTGGCATCTATTGTAAAATATCCAACAAAACGTCTTCAAAAAAGGGGCACTTCTGAAAAGAGAAATTCCGCAGGTGCTCATGCTAGCCACCCTGCATTGCGAAAAATATATCCAAAATAAAATATAATAAATATATTATTATATTGGGCAGGAGGTGGTGTACTGACAAGTGGCGCGCTTACCACTCGTGCGGTACTGGGTTCAAATCCCGGGTCGACTCCCGCCCAGGCGAACCAAGCCTTGTACCGTCCGGGGACGGTAAATTGTTACCAGGTTCGTCTAGGTAGATAAGAGCACGGCCTTGTACATCGATTGGTCCGCAAGTCATTGTGTAGGCCACATCGCATTCAATAAGCCACTACGATTGTAACTGGAAGTAGAATGCGTGCCGCACCACACGAAGGGATTGATCAACGGCGAAGTCTTTATCCTTTATTATTATATTTCCCTCGTCTCCCCAGCTTTTGTCAGCAGAGGGCACCCAGCGCTTACCGCTCTTCCCTTTTTGTGCCTCTCGAAAGTTGGTCGTTAACACACTGCGGACCGCCGTACTGCGTGCACGTCCTTATCATTTCATCATTTTTCATGAAAAATTGATCAGTAATTTCCTCCCTGTTTTCAAACGCTCATGAGGAGGATATGTTAATAACCGAAGACGTGTTTGCACAAGAACAGAACATGAAAGAATATTCAAAATAATCAAATAAAAGGCAGCATAGAGGCAAATTCATGACACACCATGTGTGTCACGCGGTCCGGAACGTGTCAATAATTGCTATAACCTGGGGTTAAGACACATGTCTGGTCCACATTCTCTGGGGTCGTATCACGCGAAACAAATAGAAGCACATCACTTTTGTTCTCCTTGTCAACTTCTCGCAAAAAACAAACATCTAAATTGTGTATGACGTTCGACATTCGACTTCCGAGTTTTATGTAGGCCGTTCTTGTCTTTATACGCAGCGTAGTCGCGGAATCCCCATATAAGATTTTTTATATTCATGAAACAAGGAAAAGATCGGGATCAAGAATACACGCAATAGAAGAACTGACCTAGTAAAAGATGGGGGATGGCATGATCTCGATGGAGGGGCACTCACTTTAGGCACTCCAACAGTGGCAGTGATAAGTCATGTACGTATAGATGGCAAAACAGCCCACAGTGAGCAGAACGAATGAAGAAAAACTCTCCACAACCACTGTAGTCACAATGTCCTATCAATTCAGAAGGGAAACACTTCTGAACATGTTACAAATTCACCAGGATTTGCATCGAAATATCACGCTACATACCAGGAACAGGACAAGATGTTCACCCGACTGCGTATAGAGAAATTAATATCCTGAGTTACGACGTACGAACTGAAACGCGTATACAAAGGTTAAAAGTAAAACACGTCCAGAGGTTGAATTCAGGCCGTAGCACCTGCGGGTATGTTGAGGTCTTTTCAATTCTTTTCAGGCGACAAAGCCAATTGAATAGACTCGCGGTCTTTGAAGGAGGTCCACGAGTCCACTATCAGAAGTGTTGAGTGGCGACTTTGGAGAGACAACGCAGGAATTGAATTCGAAACCCCTGTTCAATACTGCTCCCCTTCTGAATTGACAGAATACTGTGACTACACCGGTTGTAGAAAGTTTTTCTCCATTCGTTCAACACACACTGTAAAAAGCTGTTTTGCCTCGATCATTTCGGGGAGGACACCACATGTGTTCTTAAATATTGCTATTAACATGCTATTTAATGGCTGTTATTTGACTCATTCATCGGTAAGCATCTGTGAACCGGTTAACTTTATTAAAAAGACTTGATAAAGAAGCACAACTGAAGAAGTGCCAGAATTAGACTTTTTCCCTGCAGCGAATAAGAGCACGCTTGACAAGATAACGGAACAGAAGTACTCTGCGCACTCATAGAAGATGTGCTCAAAAAAAGTAAAAATGGGAACATGCCAAGGAATCGAGCCCCTGACCTCGCATCTATGGATCAACTTACCTATCCACTGCACCATCGACCGCTTAGCACCGTCCATTCTCGAACTTAAAGACACTCCCGCGATCAAGTGGTCTCCAAAATGGCCTTTTAAACTGTTACACGCGTTTACAAACCATACCATTTTCGTCCCTCAAAACGGCGTGATAAAGAAGTTAAAGACATTTGCGGGTGTCAACAGTGGCAACATCATACTATAGGTGGACGAGGCAACGGCTCGCGAGTAGCTTCTCTCCCTACAGCACCCGCGCGGCAAGTGTCGCACGCGGCGCTTCTGGAACTTTGCCATCTCCGGTGATCCACGCTTTCCATAGCGATTAAGCGCAAACCTCGCACCGTTGGACATAAAGTGAAGACGCTTAGGCTGTTTTAGGGTTCTATATGGTTCGTTGCAAGTGCGATTCCAATTAGGAGGATGTGAACAAAAGAGCAGAAAGCTTTTCTTGAGTTCCATATTCTGCAAGCGATGGGAAGGACGTGAACTCAAGAGCAGGTGGTTCGTTCTCCTACTCGTCTCAAGAGAAGGATAAGGAATTATGAGCAGTCAGTGTGTTTCTCAGACTCACCTAATGATCTCAGAGATGAGGGCACTATTCAATTGTTACTAACCCAGTTTCCGACAGCAGACCAGTTTTACCATCAAGCTTTGAAAAAAAAAGATGTACAACAACAACAACAGGGATTTCCTCGTGGAGCAGCTAGAGGAAAATTTATAGAGGTGTGAACTCAAAAGCCCTTTGAAGGAAGGCCAACGAATACAAACACCACGCTATGAATCCATCCCTGATGCAACTATGAAGATAACAATAACATTAACTTGCATGTACTGCAAAAGCGAACATGCTTCGTTCTTGTGCACCGTCTTCGCTTTCCCTTGTGCCAGGTCCCAGCATTTGAGACGAAACCATTTATGCGTTCTATACGCGCCACTCACACATAAAACACACCATAGCTTAGATGTCAATCCTGCTTCCACTGAAAAGCTGCCTGCTGAGGAATGATAGTAGCACTCATGTGGGTAAACTATCATTCCTGTATAAAAGGATCTAGATGCCGAAGCCGCACAAAGATGTAGGCCAAGATTCTGCCATACCTGATGTACATTCCACGGTCCAGCAGCTGCAAGTTGAACATGAGGGAATCAAGCTGTTGTTCAATTCGCTTGCGCCGAACAGGGAACATGGACGAGACGTTCAGAACAGTGAGCACGACTAGTTGGACAAGGAAGTTCAAAACTCCGTAGAAGATGAAAAAGCCTGATACACCTTCGACTGTCCCTACAAGACGTAAAGACCAATAATTCGAGGATCGAGACAGTAATAAGAGACATCTTATTCTGTAAAACTACAACGTAGCGCATACCCTAAGTATAAATGATCTGCTACCGTTACAACCGCACGACACTAGTTTCGACGCAACAGTAACAAATCTTGAAAAGTTATTCGCATCCAAAGAAACGTTAATCGAACGATGATATGACTGTCCGAAGATTGCCTGCCCAGCACTGACTTAACGAATTTTCCACGACCAATTATCATGGATCATTCTTGCCCAGTTACACATTCCTGAACTGGGAACAGCTAATCGTTTTCCAGGCCGCATAGCTTGTTTCGAATCATGTGGTGGTTTTGGCTGCGACTGTTTCTAGCTCAGTTCAGGTTGCTTGTTTTACAGGATTAGTTCCGACAACATCCACGGCCTACGAAGTGTTCCGCTGTTACGATGGTCACAGCAAGTGAAGCTGACTCTTACGCTAGAAAGTTTCCGTCAGGAAAGGGGACAACAGCAGCATGAGCTCATGGTGAAACCGAATATACCAGTAGAGCTCCCATCAGTACGGCTCACCTTCACCTCCATAAGCGGCCCCCGACACCGTTACTCCACAGTACTTTATAACTAATGAATACGAGACATCGATATATCGAGAGACAATATACTAAACCTCATTTGTTCTTCCCAGCTAGACGCGCTCAGCGACTATCGCTGCGCGGCTGCCGAGAGCAAAGTCGTATGTGAATGTCCCACCATCGACACTGAGGAAGAGTTCAACCATCTCGAGGCAAAGCTCCCGATAAACACTGCCACCTGGGAGCGAAACGACCAAGAAGAACATGGTTGGATACCTGATATGGTATCAGCTGACTTATCCATAAACTTTCACTCTACCCTAGACACCATATCCTTGCTGATTTACAACGATCAATGCTCCGTAGAAAATACAGAGCTTCACGGATGCTATCGCTGGTCACAAGGAGCACAGGCAAAGATACGATGCACGTCGGATAACGATACACTGGGTGAGATTCTTTGCGACCAAGAGTCGTTTGTCGTACCATGTTCACAACAGTCACAGAATCTCTGTTACGATTCAACTTCGATTCCGGTCGACAGTTCCTTAACTGTTCGATATCATGTGGATCCGTTACCAACCACTTCGTGCTCGCGGGAGTTCTCAAGTACACCGGCACAATTCCATGGCCTTTGCAGCCATGCTTAAGGGGAACAGTACTACCTATAACAGCTTCCAGTAGCCGGATTACAGCCATGTAGCAGATGTCATCTTTGGCTGGTATAAAACTATACTAATTGGCATAGTGGTACTAGGACTAGCTTTGCTGCTATTTACCGACCATAGGGCTTCGTATAGGGCGCTTGCTGATCAACCTTGTTTTCATGCTCTTCAGCTGCCCAATACGAACCATAACTTTGACACTCCACAAGATTCGACTTCTTCGACGACAGGAACATAGCATACCGTTCCATACTCATGAAAAAACTTATTGAAACGAGAAGCCCTCTTCTTCTTTTTCCTTTTAGAGTTGTTTAGACGCTTACTCATAGCACGATAGGAAAAATATAGGTAACAGACAAAAGGCACCACTTCCTCTGCAATAATGTAGTTACACCTGTAGTGAAAGTCCACTTATAGATGACGGACTATAGACGCCTGCAAGCTGACTACAACGCTTTACGGAATGCTCTTCCTTCTCTTCCAGAACCAGAAGAGCTGTATGCCAGGATTATACAGATGTGTCGCGATTTTGGCTTTTGTCGAGATCTGTTAAGAACATTCAACGAAATAATCACTTGGTTGAGAAGATCCCCCAATACTTGGCAGGCACGCAATACTGCTTACCGCGTTCTTGTAGAAATGATTGAAAGAGTCAGGCTTGATCTTCAGCTTACGCGGTCGCAGCTGGCAACGCTTTGGGTCCTCCCAAGGCTAGGCTCCTCATCGCAACACATAAGATCGAATCGGAAGTATGGAAGACCATCATTGAAAGGCAGCAAGAAGACGATGACGGAAACCCGTTGCCAGTTGATTACACGAAATTGGACAAGGCGATTTCTGAAACTTTCGATATACTGAGAGAGCACAGCACTAACTTGCGTGAATACGGAGACGCATTGATGGAGGAGGGTCTCCAAGAAGAAAATCACATCCGCAATGAAGTATTAGGTTGTCCGGAAAGTTCTCAGCGTTCTGGGTGTTTAAACGATCGCAACTTTTTTAATACTCATCGGATTCAATCGAAATAGGCACCATTCAAATCAGCACACTTTTGCCAATGTGACAGTAGTCGAGAAATCCCATCAAAGTAAAAAACTGGTGGTCGAAAATTCACGAAATCCACTAAGGCTTTTTTGCCTGTTCCTGATTGATGATGTATTTTCCAGCAAGAGAGTTCTGAAAATGTTAGAAGAGGTGATAGTCGGTTGGCGAAAGGTCTGAAGAATATGGCGGTTGAGGTAGAACTTCAACCCCCAATTCGTTCAATTTATGGATAGCGATTTGTGAAACGTGTGGGCGGGCGTTGTCATGCAAAGGAATCGGACCCTTTCTTTTGATAAGTGTTGGCTGCACCTGACAAAACGTTCGGTACGATTCGTCGATTGCTTCACAGTAGGGTTCTGCTGTAATGGTTTGGCCTGGTGATAAAAAGTTATAGTGGATCACGCCGACGACCACCAAGCCGTGACCAGAATCTTTTTTTCGTGAGGGTTCGACTTTGAAAATTACCTCGGTGTTTCGTCGAAATCCAACCACTGTCTGGAACGTCTCCTGTTATCATACGTGACCCATTTTACATCACAGGTGACAACTCGGCCCAAAAAGAAGTCGTTTCTGCTGCGCAAAAGCAATGTAGAAGAAACCTCGAGACGTGCGATTCCTGACGGTCACTCCGATTGTGGGGTACCCAATGGTCGAGTTTCTTCACCTTCCCAATGCGTTCCAGACCACCTGCAACAGTGGATTTGCCACGGCCTAGCTCTTCTGCTATCTCTCGAACTGTTTGGTTGGGTCAGCCTCCAAAAGCCCCCTAAAATCCTCGTCAGATACTGCTTTAGGTCGACCGCTATGAGGTTCATCTTCAAGGCTGAAATCTCCAGAACGAAATTTGTTGAGCCATTGCCGCACAGTGCTTTCTCTAGCACTATTGGGCCCCCACATCTCTTTGTTTTGTTGAGCTGTTTCGATTGTGGATTGCCCCAATTTATAGTCGAAGAAAAAATCGTCCGAAACGCTCTCTTCACATGCTTGAAAAAAATCCTGAAAAAAGAGGGTTTATCAAGCAATGGTGAAACGGCAATTATACCATCTGATAGCGCAGGAAATTCTCTACAGGATGTGCTACTGAGATGCAAGGCAGAATGAGTTTTTATTCAGCAGTGAATGTACAAAAAATAGGTGCACAAAACGCTGTGAACTTTCCGGAAACCTAATACTTTCAGAATTGCGGTCACTTTGACACCTCATACTCCTCTTCCTTCATAAACATTCCACCGCGAAAAAAAACGCACAAGACGACGTCGCTGAAATCGGTACTGTTCAACAAGACTTGAAGCGTTCCCCTGTCCGAAATGTCCAACTAGACGAAGAAGAAGCGGAGTCGGCTATGGCAAGTAACTCCGACGCCGGCGAAGAGCCAGTTCCCATGGAAAGGCTTCAGAACCTCGACAGCGAAGATCCAGAAGAGGAGGAAGCGACGGACAGGAACGTTGACACCCACGAGGAACAAGTTGAACTGGAGAGGGTTCCGAACTTCGACGCTGAAGAAGAAGAGGTCGAGGGAATACATCAGAATCAGAATGTCGAACATGACAGTTCACGAGGAACAAGAGATAAAAGTGATCGAACAGGACGCCGAATTCTTCGAACCCATAGACGAAGTGGGCGAAGCGGTCCTGGAGCCAGAGGATAACCTCGTGATGGCTGATGAAGTCGAGAATGACGATGATGACGCAGACGACAGAACCAGCAACGACGAACACCGAAGTGACGTCCAAGAGTACACACCCAGTCCTTCTCCTCCACCGATGATGAAATAGAGGACCTACAGCAACAACTACGGCAAGCCAGACAATTGAAGCAGGATTACAGAATGAGGATGGATAACCTGGAGAGTGAACCACAGTGTCGGCTACGCCACTTCTCCAGAGGATTCATTCGCAATCTCGATGAAGAGCTAGTGCCGTGTGGTTTTTGCGAAAAGAATTGCGGAGAACATTATTCTGACTCCTGCCGCATCTTCAGACTCGTCGATGAACGCAGAGAACGGATTTTACCTGCCGGACGGTGCTCAGTGTGCCTTGATGACTTCTGCGAGCGAGGATTCCCTAGTCGGAAATATAGAGCGAAGTGCTTCTATTGCAGACGTTCAGGACAAAATTCGGCACTGTGCACGCTACCCGAGAAAAGCCGCCGCATTCAGGATGAGTTGGAGTCATTGCGGCGGGATCACGAAGACGTCAGCATCCGCATCCATTAGCTAAAAGAATCATCAGAAAACTTGAGCGAAACAGAGCAGAAGCATAATTGGACTACAGTCCCCTCATCGTTTTATTTTTGGCGGCCGGGAATATCGCGGTGAGCCGCGATTCGTAGCGTGTAGATATTTAACTTGTTCATGCTTTATTGGATGACGACGATGAAATTACAGGAGAAGATTCGCAGAGTCACAGAAGCGCAGAAGCCGTGAAAAAAATGCGTGGAAGACACACAAAAAGCGGCGATAGGACTGTAGAAGCGAAACACCGCAGTCCAGTATGAAAGCCAGTGACTCTTCCGATCGGCGTCTCAGTCATTTTACATTTCGCTTAGTGCCTTGTTACGTTTTGTCTATTATATATTACCAATATATTTGTCGTTTAATTACCCAAGTTTGAGGTATCATATAAAGTGCTTGGCGTCCTTTGTCTTTTGTTGTATGGCAATATCGTGGTGTGGTCGTATACATATACCTACATATCTCTCTATAGTTGGCTACCACTGACCTTTTTCTTATACTCTATATTGTGTCATTTGGTATACACTGCGCAGTCTTTACTTGTTGTGATCACTTCCTCTCACAGGTCAGTAATGTTTCACCCCCTAATAAAATTTTGGAACTAAGTCCAACTTCTGCTGTGAGCCGCACTACGAATTTGGTAGTCCTTCCCTTCCAACGCCCCTTATCGGACCTTATCAGCTAATATCACATCCTGTCTCCAAGCAATATTTCCTTCGTCCCACACCCTATTTCACTGCTCGCAACCAACGTTCCACTGTTGCTGTGTCTGACCCCCCCCCTTATCGAGTCTTATCAGCTGATATCACATCCTGTCACCCACCAATAATGTTCACGCCCCACCCCCTGTGTCACTACTCGGGACTAATGTCCCACCGCTGATGTGAGCCGTACTATGAATTTGGTAGTCCTTCCCTTCTAACGCCCATTACCAGATCTCATCAGCTGATATCACATCCTGTCACCCACAGTAATGTTCCTGTCCGACACCCGATATCATACCTTGGAACTAACATCCCACTATTGCTGTAACCCGCGCTATGTATCCGGTGACTCTCCCTTTGTGACGCCTCTTATCAGGCCTTATCAGCTGATATCACTTCCTGTCACCCACCAATAATGTTCCCGTCACAACCCCCATATAACATTGGAATCAACTTCCCACAGCTACTGGTAGGATAGCTGTGAATTTCGTGACACACACACTCTAGCGAATTATACGCAGGGTGACCAAAAAGTTCTAGCAATTTTTCGAAATATTTTGGTATCGTAAAAGTGCCATTTAATCAACTTAACCAGCGAACCTAAACTTTCGGAAATCTTCATTAGACCAGTAGCGATGAAGTGTACAGAGAAATCACAACATGTGTTCAGAATTGCCTCCTTTGCTTCCCAGATCGGAGCTCGCAGGATGCGTCGTCTGGTCGGTACTGGTCGCTTGAAAAATGTGCTCTTCACCGACGAAAAATTCCCACGATCGAGCCTGTACACAACCACCAGAATTGTCTGTACTACTCAAAAAGGGTCAGCAGAAGACAAAGGCAGTGAAGCCCGTCGGCCATAGGCACGTTCCAGCCTCAGTCATGGTCTGGGCTGGGATCTGTGTCAGCGGAAAACCTCCACTCGTCTTCATCGACCGTAACCTTAAAATCAATGCTGTTAACTGTCAAAAGTGCGTTCTTTGCGATGTACTGAAGCCATGGACGTC